TTGCGCATCGAAAGGCACAACAGTACTGTGACTCGTCGCAAACGATGTCAGTGTTGCACCTGTCCTGTTGATCTCACGCTAACAGTATAGAAGCATTCCTTCTTTTACACCAACACCAACTCCGGTATCGACAGTCACTCCTGAACCTACAGCAGAGCCTCTACGTAATTGCGAAGATCCGTATCGACGACCGGGATATCTTTATATACCCAAAGAGCCGAAGGCTTACAGAGATACACAATGGATTCCTTTCACGGAAGATTACCTCAACTCGGAACCACCCGAGTACGCCGCTTACCCACCGAAGCACGAGATTATCTTCAACGATACAGCTGTTGAGCCAGAGTATCTCAATGCTGCTGGTAACCCTCAACAATGGATGCGCATGGCTGTCGTTGAGAGTCGACGCCGTCGCAAAGCAGTAGAAGCTACTGTCCCACCAACCAAGAACACAACAGTCAATGACTTTGTTCAGATGAAAGAAGACAATGGTCTTGGCTGGCTGTGGGGTCGTCGTGTAGTCATGTTCGGAGACTCAGTCGATCGCTACATGACACAATTCTTCTGCGAAGAGTTCGACAGCAAGATGTATCTCCCCATCCAAGACAAATCAGGCCGCCAAGCAAAAGGTATTTGCGAAGTTCCCGCCTTCAACCTCACGCTCGTCTACCTCCACTCCGTCGGCTCCTTCACCTACCGCCCAGACTGGTGGTGGATCGAAAACCTCAAGAACGTCGCATGGGAAGAACGCTGGAACATCTTCTGGAAGCCCCATGAAGCACCCATCCAAGGTCCCTCCGGCCGTCCCGATCTAATCCTCTGGCAGAATGGTCTCTGGGATCAGCGTGCCTTCTGGGAGGGTGGTGCGGCGATGCATAATGAGGGGGATAAGCCGATGACCTTGAAAAACAGGCAGATGGCTTGGGAGGAGGTCCGTTTTGTGACTGCGCGTATAAAGAAGATTGCCAAGCGGCTTAATGATGAGTTTGGGGAGGATGTTCCGATTATGTTTAGGGCCTTGACGGTTCATAGGGAGAGTGGTATGGGCGATGCTATAATGATGGAGATGGATCGTTTGGGGAGGGCTGTGGCGGAACAGGCTGGCCATGAGATTTTTGAGTGGGCAAAGTTGATTCATCTTCTTGGGAATTTGTACCAGGATGGTTTACATCCTGGGAAGGGAGCAGCGAGTTGGCTTTGGGGGAATATGGTATTGGAATACCTTGCAAGATCTGCCAGGTCCGAAGTTGGTGGTGAAGCCAGATCGCCATACTTTAGCGGATGGGATGCTTGCCATAAGGAGTTATCAGGTTGGGGGGGAAGATGAAACTATTATCGTATACTTCTAACTGAAAAAAATCCTATCCAAAATGAGTCTTCCATTAATCGGAAGCTTGTCCAAGCCATGGGTTTCCAGTTTTCTCCTCATTAGCCGTCTTTCGCCCCCGTCTTCCCAAAACGCTTCGTCAGGAAATACTTCACTCCGGCGTGTCACTCTCAGTGCCTCAAAAGCGTACATGTGCTCGCTAGCTATTTGGCGAATCTGATCCGTGACTCTGAAGTTTGAGTATGGTTGGTTGAGTAGTTCGGTAAAGGCTTCCGGACCATTTTGGATTGCGCTTATAGCTTTATCCTCAGGAACATCTTCCCCTCTATATATCGCCACCTTCCGACTTTCTCCGAAATGGCCAATGATTGTTTTGAGCAATGTATCTGTGATCTGCAACTTTTCCTTTATGTTGCCATTGGGAAGTAAAAGCTCTTCCCAGGTACTATCCTCCATCCATGAAACTTCTTTTAGTTCCTCAAAAAGGCCAAAAACACGAGACTCCGTCATTCTTATGCCCCTTGCAGAATTGGGGAAGAGATGATCTAGTATATCACTTCCCGCTTTGATTGCTTCTTGATATACTCTTTTTGTTATATTGAATGGACTTTTGCCGTGTCTGATCAGGCACTCGAGTGTTTGTAAGCCACTGGGAATCGCAATAGCGAAAAGATCCTCTTCTAGTTCAATAGGGTTCTCAAGGGCTTCTAGAAAAATCTCAAGGACATCTCTACCAGCCTCTGCGCCCTTGATTATCAGTCCTTTTGTCATCTCGATGGGTTGGTTGTCTTCATCGATGATTCTAAACCCTCTGGGGTGTTCAGTTGTTGTATAAAAGTAAATGTCTTCCAGGAGCTGAACTGGAGATGGAGTGGCACTCATAAGATGCGGCAACACTTCTGGACGGGAAACCATTGCTTTCCTCAGTAGCTTCGCTGTTATTTTGGGGGCTGGATTACAGTACTTGAGGAAAGGTTGACATGAACGCATACCGATTGATATTGCTTCCATTAAGGCATGATCTGTTGACTGTTCTGGGTTGGAGGATGACCCAAGGAGTCGACACATGACTTCTGCGTCATATTCCATGGCTCTGGCGACAAACTTAGGCAAAGACTCGATGATTAAATCTGGACTCTTCCAAAGGAACTCAAGGACATCTATGCTTGTCTCTAGAACCTTGAGTGCTGTGTATTGAGTGATTTGAATAGGCGATTTACTCTTGTCCAAGAATAAACGTATAATACGGCTTCCATGTTGCACGAGGTCAAGAAAATCCTCGCTGTCTATCGTCTCAATCACAGCCTGCCGCCTCAAGAAAGCCCTCAGTGAGTTGTTGGTTGGCTGCAGTTGATTCTTCTGTAGGAGCAGTTCTCTAGATACAGCAGGTAATTGTGCTTGCAGGTCTCTGATATTTGTGACCAGCGACTGTTGAGCGGGGCACACGTCCCCTAACAGATAATCACAAACGTCTTGCACTACCGCTCGTTCATCTTTATCATATTCAGCGCTCATTCCAGTGTCTTTCAGATCAGAAGACATTCCGAGTAATGCGTAGACCCTGTCTCTTGGGTCCGTGGCTTGACATTCTCTGAACTTCCACAGCAAGTTACAGAGGCTCCGATCTTGGTTCCACCAGGATGAGCTTTTTAGCGGACTTGGCATAATGTCGAGAACAGCTTGACATTGTTCGCCAACCTGGACGTTCATAGCATGTGGTAGGAGGGCGAATAATCTTGTCGGAATGTTCCCAAGATTGCACTCCACAATCGCCCTTTTCGCGTTGGCCACCTCTTGTAGGATCCAAACTCTGGAGAACCAGGGATTCCCCATGACAATTTGAAGGCCATCTACTAACTCATTGTGAGAGTATAGTCCTATGCTTGCTTCAGTTTGATTCCATTGTTGTTGCCAGCGTTCGTCTTGACGTGCCCACTCTCGAAAAGCGCCCAACGGTAGCTTCTCTTTGAAAATGTCGACTGCAGATTTGAATTTAGCAACATTGCCTCCACTCAGATATCCAAGCCATATGATGACTCTATCGGCTTTCTTGTAGATCTCTCCCATATGGTTAACTTGATGGCCACGCTCCTTGATATTGTTCTGGTCAATGCAGAGAGCATCGACCCACAGCATTCGATCCTCATTGGGGTTCCTCAAGTGATAAAGAGCATCGTGTAAGCTCTCAGTTATTAATAAAATCTTTCCATCCATCACGATCTCATGCTGTGTTGTTTTCCCTCCCCAAGAATAAGACAGTGCTTCGTACGTGAAGATGACTTTCTCGTCAAGGTACGCTTGTACAATTCGGCACCTTAATTGAGGTTGAGTGCCCTTCTCGAGGAGTACCAATCGAAATCCAGCACTCTCCAAATCGAATGGCTTGTATTGAAATCGATCTGTAAAGGCATATTCGTCTTCCAGTTTGGTGGTACCGATTCGATGAGAGACAAACATGGTGTAAATGACTGTGGCCATTTTGATTTGACGTAGCGCAGACCCATTGAGGTTTGGAGAAGAGGAGCCTGTAAAGCCGAGTATACCGCAGACAGTCAATATTGGAAATCTTGATTTGATACTGGCACCGGCTCGTTCGAAGCACATGATCTTGCTGTCGCATCCGACCTTTTTGGCCAAATCACGATCAGATAGGAGATGAGCAGAGGATGCGACTTTTCCCCGCAGAACTTTGTTGGGTTTATTATGTTCCAGCGGCTGCTGATCCTTTGTGGGAGTAAATTCTGTTCGAGATGATTGATCCTGCAGATATTGGCCCCAGTGCTGGCGCCCCTCCGGGGATTGGATAGTGTTGATGACAGACTTGATACATGAGGACAGGTGATTGATTTCAAAAGTGGTAGAGATGCGACTGGAAATAGTTGTTCCGTCCACGTCGAACTGAACTTGCCCAGGTTGATTTTCCTGCGGAAATGCTACGACAATATCGCCCGGCTTGGCAAGGCTCTCTTCAGGTGCTGTAGCATCGACTCCAATTAAGAATCCAGCTCGAATAGATGGGTAAGTTTCAAGTAAACGGTCGAAAGCGACATTGACGAAAGCGGAGACATTGGTCATGTCCTCAGCTCTTCCGACTAGGACGACATTGTGTGAGCCAACTTTTCCAAGGGAGCATGCAGCTCCCGAGTTTTTCAAAAGGTACTCTGGCTCGGGTTCGTCCAACAAGGCTCTGGCTGTCTCATAGTCCTCTGTCAAAGGCGCCACGATGGCGATATGGTAATTATTTGAATGTGGCTTATCCATGACCGGTGGGCGAAGATAGATCATGCAGCAGGAAATAACGTACTGAATAAGCTGGAGCTAAGAGAGCTGTTAGGGAATGAAAAGTTGGAAAGGAAAGTAAATGCCATAGAGCATGTTTTCATTCTCTGTCAGATTAAAGACGTCCGGCGGCGAGGCTTTATGCCACGTCAGAACTGCATTGAGGCTTGGCAAGCCACTACGTTGGAGATCAATTACAAGCCAATCAATCGACAGACACAGCCTGCAGGCATGGTTGCGCAAAAATGAAACTTACAATGAAAGTGGAAAATACATTATAATGCCTTGGCTGGCAAAAGTGACGATGTTATTACATGAACAAAAATACCAATGCGAATCTATACAACTTCCATGTCCACCCCATTCTTGACTAAGAATACTGCTTCCCTCTCATCTAAACGCCACTATCTGAGCGCTTTTTGTCATCGAGTACCGTCCACCGCTCACATACAGCCTTGTCGATATCCGCGAAGCTCCCCCCCTCGGTCCATCTGGGTACTCTCCAAAAGTCCACCCCTCCCCGCACTCCTAGACCTGAGCCATCGTTGCTATGAAACACATGCCTCCACTCGCGATCTACCCACTTTCCGTCATCTCTCTTTGAAACTCCCTCGGTACCCCACGGACGATTCAAAGTCGTCCTAATTTGGTCGTTCTGCATCTGATAGTCGTGATACATCTTGTAAACATTGTCGTCGGGGTCAATGTGGAAGCGATGGCATTCTCGAGGAAAGCCAAGGCTAATGTTAGGGTCGATAAGATCCCAGTAATCCAGAAACCAATGCTCTTCGATATTCTCGAAAGGGATGATCGCTCTGTACAGTGCTTCCCAACAGCGTTGAGAATCCGAATCGCTGACTACGCCGTTGTAGCTAGCTTTTGTAGGAGCAGTCATGGACCGCATAGCTTGAACGATGCCTCTCAGCATGTTCTCTTCAAGCTGGTTAAGCACTTGATACTCGATGAGAATCTCGATCTTCTGCTCAAACACATCTGCAGCTTCACCGCGGTACTCCTCCGCCCAGGCCGTAGAGCTATCCATCAGATCCAGGAAAAGTCCCCAGGCCGCGTGTAGTACATTGGTGAGTTTCCACCACGGCTTGTCGACTGTTTCCACTACTCCCCCTCCGAAAAGCAAGTGTTCGGGTTCCTGTAGGCGGTACTTCCCTGCCCATTTTTGCATGAGGGGACGGGGGAGCTCCTCATATGTAACCTCGAAACTTACAAGGCGGCGCACATAATCTCGGAGGACAAGCTCAAGAAGATAGGGTGGGCAATGGGAGCGTAAAGCCATGTCTAGAGGCCCTGTGATATAGCGGACTAGTCCGGCATCTTCCCAGCTTCGACACATAAATGAATCAAAATTCATGTTGTGAGGGAGTGAATAACCATGGCTGTGCAGCATCTTGATCATCTGGCAAATGCCTTCTGTGCGGGCCCGATCAGGACTCTTGCTCAGGATCATGAGCAGGAATTCAGGGACGTGGTCACAATAGTCATTTGCTGCATACCACGGCTGATCTTGCTGCTCTTTCATTTCAAACTGTCTTTGCAGAAGCCACTCCAGAGCATCGACACACTTGTCAATGGGAGTTTCGCCTAGGTAAAGGCACTCCAGTAGCTCATCGATGGGCCTGTGGTGGGTATGCCGACGCTCAGAGATGCATTGACAACCGCCAGACTCAGGCAGTTCCCATCTCGTATCAGGTGTAGCTCCAAAGTGGGCGCATCGTTCCATTGCCTTGACATCAGCGTTTCTCAGTGCCTGACGGAACGCGCCGCTGTTATCCCCCAAATAGTAAAATGGGAGGTACACTTGGTGGAGAGGAGGGCTGAGTAAGCATAACGCCTTGAAATCCGCAGCTGAGATGATGTTTTGGTCTTTTCCGGGTTCACCTGAGATCAGGAGAAGGACTTCAGTGGGGAGAAGGTCCAGTGTCACTGGTTGGGACTTTTGGGAGGTCTGCGTATCAGAAGATTGGGACTCGGGATTCTGACTAGGGCTTTGTTCAGGAGACATGCTTCAGGTTTCAGTTGTGTTGATTTGTTGTAGTTTTGTGTGCTGGTATATTTTGTAGTAGTTGATAATTGGGTGTGTTGCTGAGAACGATGAGCATAAAACCTACGAGTCAAATAGTTCACTACTTATACATGGACTGAACATAGACTGGACAGAACATTAAATCTTTTATGTTCTGATTGAGATGCTGTTACGTCTGAAAATTTCTTTCGGCGTTCTTTGCCGCTGTATGGACAAAGAATCACACAAGAAATTGCTTTGTTTACTGTACGAGGAACTTCCTCAACAAGCAACCAACGATCAAAAGCGTGGACCGAACAACCAACTTCGACCGTTTTCTGATGAATCTCGAAAATGAGCCAAGTATAGATCTGGCTTTCGCACAGTCTCTTCATCAACAAAGCAAGTGGCCATCCTTGTTGGACACATACTCATGTGCAACTGCGGCTTCTATTAATCTCAATCAGCTATAGTCTCACAACATTTATGCCCGAGGTCAACTTACCCAGAGGAACAGCGACCTTTTCACTCTGTCCCTCACAAGTGCATCTGATCCAATACTCCGCACCACCATACCACGGATCAGGCGCTACAAACATCTCGCATCCGTGACAGCTTTCAGCAAAGTTTCCATGATAAGTTGGCTAACAAGTTGCTTAGCTTTTATGAACCGAACTACGTTTACGAGCACGACTTACTGTAATGGTAGTGCCGTCGTAGCCGAAACAGTCGTTGAGGTCCAGCTCGGAGGGGATGTAGCCTGAGTTATCGCGAGGCTGGCATTTACCCGACAACGTGTTTGTTTCAGAGTTGAAGGCAATGTCAATACAGGTTCTGTCGATCTGGGCAAACGCGACACCCAGAAGGGTCAACAAAGCTGCGATGCCTTTGGCCATTTTCCGCTATTTCACTGGCCGAGTAAGGTTATCTTCACAGCAGTAATCTCACTTACTGCTGGACTTGGCGGGGAATATATATCTTTATGTGATGGCTCTAAAGAGGGGCCATGCAGTGATCCTACCATTCGGGTAAATGAGCTCTGATCCTGACTGCTTCAGCTATAGCATGTGAATCCTTCGCCTCAGTCTAGTGTCAGAAACACATGATCCGAGGGAGAGTTGGTGTTGGGACACTGAAACACAATAGGTTCTTCCGTAATAAGTAAGTCCTACTTGACGATTGAGGTAATATCGGAGCTTCAATGCATTACTCACCTACCTAAATCAGCTCATGCTGCATATCTCGCTGATCCTCCGGGAATAATCCTTCGGAGAAGTTTCTTTCTCCGGCTTACGTTCCCCGCAAGCTGAAGTCTGGGCTGTATTAGATACGGTTGAGCCTGGGTGAAGGTTCATGTCAGACGACAATGTTTTCAATGTGACACGGAATTCCGTCTTTCAAATCCTCTCCTGAGACGATAGCATCCGCCAACTATTCAATAAGTATCGCTCGGGGAACTAGTTCTCCTTGCGAAGAATGGGATTCTATTGCTGTCCACATCCTTTCAAACGAATGACAGCTCGCCATCGGTTTCAAGGGCTGCTGTGGCTAGGTAAATATCAACAGGTTCAACCTCTTCTCCTGGAACTATCAATATCTTTTGATCAGCCATTACATTCATTACAATCATCATATCACCGTCTAATAATTCGTCCTGCTTTGATCCCCATACCCCTCCATCAAAAACTCCATATCATGCCACCCCGTCATCTCCATCTCACTCCCCGGCACATACTGCGCCATCGATCCTTCAGCCATGCCATACCCCGGAAACGGCAAAAAGTCCAACAGTCCCTCCATCGATCCAAGTGCCACCCCTTGAGTCTGCTGCACTTGCACCTGCTCAGCGGACCAACCAGCTGGGTACGGCAGATTGTTCATGTTGATCCCTTGCGGGGGTAGATTCGCTATACCCGGAGGATCAGTCGGGTTATTGGCGCACTCGGAGAACGTATCAACGACTTGAGCCAATCGCTTCATTGAGCCGCATTTATCCGTGTGGTTTATGACGTTTCGTAGGGTCGCGACGAGACGGCGGACTTTGCTCTGCAGCATTACTTCATCTGGTCCGATGCTCTCTGCACCTTCGCCAGGGCGCAATCGTAATAACCGCAGGATAAGAATCATGGCAGAGCAGTAAGCGTAAAAGATATCAAGGCCAGAAAGGCCGTTGATAACATCAAAGTGATCCAGGAGTATCATAAGGTAACTCAGTTGGCATGCATGCTTCACGCATAGAGCTGCATGTGTAGGAACCGCAGTTTTCGGCGCATCTTCTTTCCGTGCTGCTGCGACGTCGCGAAGAAGAAGTGGGCGTGTGGCCACGATGGCGATGTAATGAAAATGAATATGCAAAAGTAGCACCGCGCGAAGTTGAGCTCTTGTTTTCCACGCCAGCGATACCTTGAGTTCCTCCATATCAATAGCCCCTTCATGATCAATGGATTCCAAGGCCAGCCCCTCCATTTTCATCCACCAGACATCGAGACCGGGTGCTTTCCCAATATCCCGCTTCCAACCATTCAGCGCGTTCAATATCTCATCTAGCGTCGGTCCTGAGCCTCGATTTATGCCGACATGTAAAAGTCTTGTTCGCGCGAGAATAGCTTGAAGCTTGACAGACCACGATACAAGTCTTGCATCGGTTCCTATGCCTCCTTCTACAAAGCCTTCTCGTGGCGGGACGACTTCGACGTCAAGTTCTTGAAGGCCACTAGGTCGACCCAGACTTGAAGCTAGGAATTGTTCGAAGGAGTAGAGTGTGCAAAAGACCCATTTACGAACTTCTCGTTCCAGAGGTCTGAAGGAGGCACTCATGTCTGAGCGGTGAAGACCAAGCGCAAAGGAGATCCGCGTGGCTGTTCCGGCAATGTTCCAAGCAGCGTTCCTTTCATTGTTGTTGTGCAAAAAGAGTGAAAGAAGTAGTAAAACTCGAACATTCGTAAGTGAACACTTCGAGATGAACTGGGGGAGCAGACCTCTAGCAACTGCAATAGATCTCCTTCGAAGAGCAGAATGATCAACGTTAGGTATTGACCTGTCAGCGATAGAGCCAAAAACCACAATCATATGAAGACAGCCTATCCATCCCCAGTCCGGCAATCGAAGTGGTCTTGAAGGAAGTCGAGAATTGCTGCGAGCTTCGACGATGAAACTTTCGTATTCTTCCTCAAAGGTAGCTCTGTGAAACAGAGGAAAGTCATCGTGGACGTTCTTAAAGTATGACTGAATGAGCAAGTCAAGGACTTCGTTAGGAGGAAATTGGCCAAGTATTTCATCCATGTCTGCTGTTGGAAGACGGGTAAAGTCGCGGGCGATAGCTGAGGTGATTGTTCCAGGCGAAGGTCCATCTTGAGGTGTTGTTGTAGTACGTGATGGTTGGTCATCTTCATCTTGGCCATCAGCTTCTAAGAGCCGACTTGTGTTATCCTGCGTAAACTTGGTGGCTCCTTCACGACCAGGCGAGGGATAAGGACTATTATTAGAGTCAACAAGATTCCGGAGTTGGTTCCAGAAGTTGAGAGTCCCTGAAGGTCCGATATAGTGCTCATGGCCAGAGTTATCCTTCACAAGCGACGACTGCGGCTCCTCACTATGTGACTTTGAACTCCTCGGCGATGTGTCATCCCTCGAATCCGCCGTGACGATATCCGGGCCTGTACTCGGAGTCCGTTCTTTACTAGGAGGATTCTGCACCAGGTCTTCAACTCTCATGTGTGTTCTATTAGGGTCAGAGATATCAGGCATTTTATACCCCATCTTCTGACCCAGCTGTGCAAGATCACTAACATGGTCGAGAGTCTCATTCGGAAAAGCACCTCTGACAATTGCTTCGAGACATCGATACCTAGTGGTGTCAACGACATTACACAAGATGCACAAAAGTGAGACAGACCTATCACTCAGATCATCCACACTCCCGTAGAAACGCGTCTTTCGTGGCGCCGTATACGAGCAAGTGACGTTATGTTCAAGACAATTCACACAGCCTGCACCAGAAGGATCAGGTACGCATTTGCACCTCCTCTACACCAAGTCAACCCCAGCCCATAACGAACAACAACCCAACATCGTTACTAACCTTTCGACAACGATCACAGCTTTGAGCGTTCCGTTTACGGGATTCTTCAGGGATACGCCGCAGACGACGCTTCGCATTTGCAGATTCAGACATGGTTTATAGGGAAGGGAAAAGGACTCATCGAATCGATGCTTCCCGGATCTGGGGTTCCTTTTCCCGCGGGACGGAAGCATGCTTCCGATGGGATACGTAGATGGCGTGGGAATAAGACGCTAATGGAATGTTACGCTCAAGGTTTGGGGATGGAGAAACTAAAGACCGCTGGCTACCCTACGCCTCAAGGTCGGACCAACATGACGACGTCTCTATCAGCATACCATTGGCATTTGACATGTTTTTTCGGGTTATTAATTCATCTTTTATCTGCCATAGAACTCATCTTATAGCGAGGAATAACATCAGGATGGCTAGTTCTTTGACGCTCCCGGATTCCAGAACGTTGGCCTACGCCTTGGACTCGTCACCAAAAGAAGGACCCCTCATCATCCTGTCAAACTCCCTCACTGCACCTCTTTCAGTATGGGATCACGTTGTCAAGGTCCTCAACAGCAATGGTTATCGCACTCTACGCTACGATCAACCCGGCCATGGCGGGTCATCCGCACCAAAGGACCTAAGCCCTACATTTGACTCCATGGCTGAAGACGTCCATCATCTTCTCAAGAAGCTCGAGATCAACAAGGTCTACTCATGGATCGGAGTATCAATGGGCGCATCGGCGGGTGTATACTTCACAACCAAGTATCCCAACGTGGTAAGCAAGCTCGCTATCTGCGACACCATCTCTTCATCGCCCATCAACGCCGGCACAGAAGATGCCTTTGGTCCGCGCGTCGCCGCAGCCCGAGAAGCAGGTAATCTCGACGCAACCATCCAAGGCACTCTAGAGCGATGGTTCGGCAAAGAGTGGCTCGAGAATAACCCTCAAGAAACACAGCGTATGCGAACAGTCATGTCCGGAACTACGATCGATGGTTTCGAAGCATGCTGCAACGCACTGAGAAGCGAGACCTTCGATCTTCGACCCAGGTTTGCCAAGATTGGTTCGAGTGTTGATGACGCGATTTGTATCGTTGGAGAAAAGGATGCGAATCTACCGGAGACTATGAAGGAGATGAGAGATAAGATTCAAGAGGGGTTCGAAGCAGCGGGTAAGAGCAACAAGATTGATTTGGTGATTATCAAGAATGCTGGCCATGTTTCGTTTGTAGATGGCTTTGAGCAGTTCACCGCTGAGGTGTTGAAGTGGTTGAAAGCCTGATTACGCGTGTCGTTCCTATACCATGTATCGTATAATCAGACGAGTCTCGCTCTCCAATACAAGGATCATGTCGTATCAGTTCAACTCCCGCTGCAAGGCCGGTGAGCCGAGGCTATCACCAACTCCCCAACCCCGCACCATGAAATGTCGGTATTTCACCAATGACACTTTCTCAACCGAGCTTGCATGCAAAGCAACAATCTGATGTAAGATAGATAGGTAATTCGGGGAACTTAACTTGATCATCACCTCGAAACGAATTATCACAGGATCCTAGTCGATAGCATCGGCGAACGTTAAAGGTGGAGTAGTGCCGAGACTAGCCATCGACCCCCGACTCGCCGATCGGATATTCAGCCACCAAAATCTGTTGTGCATGATGCACTCAGTGTTGGCCGATGGCGCCGATTCTATGCCATGGGCTTGCATGAAATTTCGATAGTTTGACAAAATCAAGAAACTTGGCCGAGTTTTATTGAAAGCCACTTTTGACAGGTAATTAGATTGCCGTATCCTAGTCGAAATCACTGTGGTGTAACACCAGGAAAAAGGGCAATTTACATAGGATTCAGTTGGTCATTACTCATTATGATAGAAAAGACTGCACTCTAATTTCCAATTATACTCTCCAACTTTTTTTTTAAGATTCACCCCTTGGGACTGTCGTGATAGGTGGTTCAAGAACAACCGTTCTTCCATGCTTGATCAGCTCTGTGGCTTGCATAAAGAACGAATCAATCCTCAGAATAACAGGCCGCAAGAAGACCCTAGCAGCTATATCATCCGTACCGCCAAGTCTCTGCAGTGACGAATGGAACTTCTCCAGCAACCGATAAGCAACCTCGATATCTCGTGGATCACTCGCCAGCAAGAAGAGATAGATCAGAAAGTTTCCGCACAGGATAAGCTGCGTTCGGGCAACTGCACTGCATTAGTTGCTGTTTCAGAGTGACATCTTGATCGGTAAACTTACATCTTCCCCAGAAGCTCGTCAGTTCCTCCTCGGTGATGTACGCCATGAATGTCGTGAAGAGCTCGAACTCTGCTAGTGCGGTGGAGAGCCATCGCTGAAGATTAGAGCCCGGCGTGACCTTTGCGGCTCTTGTGGCTGGGAACATGAGGCCCCGGAAGAGCAGCACCTGCGTAGCGAAGAAGGATATGTGAAGGGGGCCTAGTTCATGTTAGACATCGGCGAATTCAAAAGATGCGTGTCACATACCGTTGTGGGCGTAGGGTCTCACGGCCAGACAGCTCGGGATGAGACTGGGCCATTCCTTGAGGGTGTCTCGGATAGGAATCAGTTGAGTACGCGTCTGCTGAGTTGATCGTACACCGCTGCATCATGTAAGCCACTGTGACATTTACTACGCCGATGGTTGGGTTACTTACAAGCTGCAGTCAAGGATGGCACGCATCTCCCGAGACACAGTGATCATTTCAAGAAAGCGTGCACCGTCAGAGACGCGGAACGTGGCGTCCTCAGGATCGATCATATAGCGAAGATCGTCAGGGATATCCTCGCCAGACCGCAGATCATCCATGTCCGGGGGTGGAGTCGTGAAGGACTCGTAGCTTATATGCGGGGGGTTGCCGTGGCTTACAGCTGACCAGCAGTCTGTGTAAAAGACTGCCCACCAGAGCTTCTTGCGTAACCTCTTCTCCCACGGTGCTATGTTCCACTTGTCAGGGTCTTGGTGCAAACCGAGCATCTGCGCTATTGCTGTGGCTTGACAGGCCATCACCCAGATGTACGGTGTCTCAACGCTGTCAATGTCTGGGGGCACCATATGCATCAGCAACAGGGCTGACATTAGTTTTGAGAGATTGGGAGCTTCAAGTTCTCGCCTCAACGCCTCTTGCGCATGGTTGACCAGTTCGTGCTGCTCAAACGGACAAGGGATTCTCGCGAGCGTTGCATCTTGCTTCCAGAACACACACGCCAAGGCATAAACGGCGCCCCGTAGCGACGTAGGTATGTCTAGCTTGGCGGTCGCGTATTGCCGAAGGAAGCGAGTCTTGTGGATGACGGGCAATCCTACGTGGACGTGCCGGAAATAAAGACGGACGAGGGCCGGGCCGTGGGGCCAGACGATACGCTCTGTCGCATCGGACGCCATCTGCTTAGCCTCGTTTCTGTGATCGGGGAACTCATCAAGCAGCAGGAGGAAGTGCATCGGGTAATCATCCACATCAGGCCCGCCATGGTAGACCTGCACGAAGTTGGCGTCAATGCCCTCGCGCTCGCTGAGAAGCACTGATCTAAAGGCGTCGAGGAAGTAAGGGTCCTGCTCCGAGCCTAACGCCATGGCGTGCGCCGTACGGCCTGGAACATCTTCAAGAGCATAGGCGACTTCTTGATTGGGCTCCAGGCGCGGTGGATCTAGGCTAATGCTTCGATCCAGGGAAGCTTCTCCAGGAACTGGCACGGGATGGCGCACGAGGCCGTTGTGGACAACGGCTGCGGACTCGGATCTGTGCCGAGTAGCTTCAGATGGCGCCGAGGGTGAGATGGCCGATGTGCCAGATGCAGAGACAGATGCAGATGCAGACTCCGGGCTTAGTGCATCGTGGCTTCTGGAGGACTCGGGACCAGGGCCGGATGTAGGCCGGTGGGCTAGAGGGTCAGTGTCGGAGAGGGACTGGCATATCAAGCCTCTGCTTTTACAGAACAGGCCTGTATTACAGATCGATGCAACGGTCAGTATAAGCAATTGGCGAATGGCTAGCGGGAAGTGTCAAGTGGAGTTTTGTGTGACGGTGAACCACTGAACTGGTACTGATAGGTGGTATTGAGTGGGTGGGAATCGTGGGGGGGGGGGGGCGCCTCACAAGGGGGTTCGGAGGTGATGACACAAGCAGTCTTGCGCCTCCGACAGGCGTCGCAGGGTCTGTTTTTGCGGCTCCGTGGCTGGCGGGCTTTACCAAAGTTACTGCGAATGCTGAACTTGCGGGGCGTAGCAGTGGACGAGGAAGAAGTAGCCCGTTCCCGATCGCTAGCCTCAGCCTGCGAGTGAGAGTGATCCATCTGATCTGATCTGATTGCCTTTTCGGAGGAGGCGGGCCAGGTACCCGTTAACGGCAATACCTACGCTCCACGCGCGCGTGTTTGAGGGAGAGTGTGTAGGTAAAAGCAAGCCAGGCTGCGGGAACGAAGGAGGGAGAGAAAGAGGCGAAGGAGATGTCGGCGAAAATCGCGTGATGGAGGGGGGACCGGGAATGATAAGTTGGCCGACTACCTAGCAAAGGGAGAAACAAGCGGAGTTGGCCGAGTGAGTTCTTTTTAGGGGGCGCTTCTACTTGCGTACTAGTGTCTCGGAAAATGAGATTAGTGTGAAATTACAGAGGGCACGGGAGCTAAAAGGAAGAGTGTCCAGCGTGTTCAAGTGCCGGAGCTTCAGAACATGTTCGCGTTTTAGCCTGTCATGACGCGATTTCAAGATGCGACAATTAAAACAAGTGGATGATCTCCAATCTCAATCAGGGTCTACCGAGGTAACGTTGCTAAAATCAGAAGATAAAGTGATGAATTTTTATCCAGCATCCCCGCTATGTCTCATATGGTAAAATGATAATTAAAATGGTCTCAGTGTAGATAGAGAGTAGCAGATAACAGGCTTGCAATCTTGAAAAGAAACATCGCCAACATGAATCTCGTAATCAAACGGACGTGGTCAGGGAGTTGGGGCCCTTGTTTCGCTGGAAAGAGTGCTCTTCAGTTGTTCCAGACTCACTCTCGGAGTAGGTCATGTCCCAGCGCTCATCATAAACAGCTTGGACCTCCTTGGCAGTGGTACCATCCTTGATGAAGGCATCGAACTTCTTATCAGGGACAGCCATGTGAAGTCCGTAGTAGACAGCCGCACTGACGATGAACCCAAAGAGGTAGTTGAGCTGGTAGAGGTTCTTTGCGCCATCTGAGACTTTAGCATTGGGGTTGACAGCAGCGATGAAGCCAGGCATTGTAGGTGCGACACCAACGATCCACTGAACAAACGAGTCAGTTATTTTCTTTATGCGATGTAATGTGGAACTTACCGCGACAAAAGCACGCCAGTTGATACCAAAGTTGTACCAGTAAATGCTATCCCTGTTACCCACAAAAAGATCGTCAACATTGACCTTGGCCTTCGCCACCAGGTTATAGTGAGCCACCATGAGGCCAGTCATGGGCGCCAAGAAGACACTGTAGCCCGAGAGCACAGTGAGGAAGACGGTAGCTGTGTTGACGAGACGCCACGGGTTGACGATGGGGCTGAGAAGGGCCATAATATAGGCACCGCGTCGAATGTTGATGTATTTGGGGAACACGGATGCGAGATCGATGCCGCCTGCGAGGGCGTTGCCGGGAAGATTGCTGCCGAGCTGAGAGATGGACAGGGCGAGACCGGCGAAGAAGATGGCGGCGCGGGTGCCTGCAGTTGGATCCTTGGCTAGAAGAGCGGCGAGGAGGGTTGGAGGATTCCAGATAGCCTCGCCCATGCGTTTCTGTGTCGCGGCAGTGACCAGAATGCCAATGACGGAAGCTCCAATACTGTAAAGCGGAAACGCAACAGTCTGGCCCCAGATAGCATCACCAGGCTTCTTGGACAGACGCGCATAATCGTTCTGGTTGAGAATACCCGCGGCAATACCACCAATCGTCGACATGATTCCCGAGATGGTGAGCCACGTAACACTCTGCGGACCACCAGTGACGGGAAGAGGCGTGCTATCAGCGAGGGTATCTCCAAAGCCATCCGATCCCATGGTCGCCAGCGCCCAGATCAGAAGAACCAGGAAGAAGACGAGGGTGACAGAGCTGGCAAAGTAGAAGAACTTTTGTATTCGGTGCGGTCGGATCCATAGGAACGGGAGCGTGACGATGCAGAAGATGAAGTAGGAGACGAATTGCGCGGATGTCATGCCGGTCGACGCGGGGATCGTGTTGGGGATGTGTTTCTCGAGGTTGGGATCCCACGATAGGAGCATGAGATACGTGCATTGTCCGCCGACCCAAGACTGGAAGCCATACCAGACTGTATGCGTCAGTACAGCCCAAGCATTGGTAGAGGAGGGGGTGTGACTTACCGAGAGAGAGAAAGATGCGATTCCAGATGACGAACTGCGATCCCCAGATTCCCCATACTGCTCGACTAAAGACAGGGAAGCCCACTGCAATGCGTGAGCCAATTGACCCATCGCGAAGGATTCAGGAGTGGATAAACGCACCATGGTAATAAGCTCCCGCAAGCGAAGCAAGAATCAAGGCTGCAGTCGCGAGGATGTTTCCGAGGATGATGGCGATGATGGCCTGCCACCACGTCAGGCCGAGAGGAATCAGCGCGCTGCCGGTCAGATACGTCGCAATGTTGCAGTTGATCAACAGCCCTGTAAGATTGCCCGTTGGTTAGTTGCGCTTATGCAGTGTGATTGATTCCCATCTCGGCAAATAACAAAAACAATAAATCACCAATAGCGAATGAAAAAGTAAACGTACAGAAGTTGTGGAACGTCAGAAACGTCCATGTTCGTCGCTCAGTCCCAACAGGTCTGACATCTTCATTCTGCGCAGTAGCAAATTAGGGGGTGTGACGCGTGTTAAGGGGAGGTTTTTGGCGTACGATGAAGCGCGAGCCACGCGGTAGCTCAATGCGCTTGACGAGATTCGCAACGGCCATTGTTGAGAACTGCGAATAACTTCAGATAATTATTTTCCCGAAGCCTCCGGATCGATAGTGTGTGCAGTAGCTTGAGGGTGGCGGGCTGCTGCTGTCACTGTGGGAGAGATTTTAGGGGGGGACAGAAACTATTAAGGGTCCGCCGGGGGGGGGGGCAGTTCGTTGGCGTGACTGGCGTTCGATCTGCTACAAAGTTTAATCCTCAGCCTTAACTTATGATTGATTTGAGCCACAGAGATTGGAATTCGGAGTGAGAGATACGTACCCCAAATTGAGGCGTCGGCCAAGAGACAGTCTGCACGACATTGATTGTCCAATGATAAGCAGATCGGCAGCTTGGGGAGATACGATGCTCAAAGGAGAAGACGTTCCGCTGCAGTTCGGGGAAGCTTTCCACTGTCTCCTCTTTTCTCTTCTGGCGTCGGCCAACTTGCTCCATCCGTTCCTCGCCGCCCCCCTCTCGCATGATCCAGGAAAACATTGGAGAGGAGTGATTTTTCTTACTCACTAATGAAATCTAGAAAAAACAAATGTGCTGTACAGGCCTAAATCCTGGCCTGAAGCATGGACTGACCTCTGACTTATAAAGATCTGGTGATATCTCTCTCCTCCTCTGCCGCCCCCACCGTAATATTATGCTTTCAGGCACCTCCAGGGTATCATCCTCCCAACCAACAGCACACCTGTCTACCGCCAACATGTCCCTGTACCGAATCGGAGTAGACGTCGGAGGTACCAACACGGACGCGGCCATTCTCGACATCCGAGCTGCTGCCACATCCACCCCTGGCCGTGGCGTCCTCGCCTCCCACAAGGCCTCTACCACGCGAGACATCACCAGCGGTATTGAGGCTGCCATAAGAGCGGTGCTGCGCGACTCGGCCGTTGACCAGAGCGGTGTTCTGAGTGTCACCATCGGCACAACGCACTTTATCAACGCCCTTGTCGAGGCTGATGCGCGGAGATTAGACCGTGTCGCTGTGGTGAGGCTGTGCGGGCCGTTTACTAGACAATTACCCCCGTTTTCCGACTTTCCTGTGGGATTGAGGAGTATTCTCGACGGAGGAGTTTATTACCTCGATGGAGGGCTTGAGATTGACGGGAGGGAAATTGAACCGTTGGATCATGAGCAGATTAGACAGACTGCGCGTGATGTCGTCGCAAAGGGGATCAACGTTGTCGCCTTGGTAGGCGTATTCTCACCACTTGACCACGATGGCAAACATGAGGAAGAATGCAGACGGATTCTCCTCCAAGAAGCACCATCTCTCCAGGTCGTGTGCTCCCACGACATCGGCCCAACAGGCTTCCTAGAACGAGAAAATGCCACCATTCTCAACGCCTCCATCCTACGAACAGGGCATCGCGTGAAGAAGGGTTTCAAGCGCGCAATGCACAGGCTGCAACTCACATGTCCGCTCTTTTTATCGCAGAACGACGGCACGCTTATTGATGCCGACACAGCAGCTGAGTTCCCCATCAAGACTTTTGCAAGCGGTCCTACGAATAGTATGACTGGCGCTGCGTATCTCGCTGGACTGGATCATAAGCGGGAGAACGTCGCGGATGATGAGGAGCCGCAAATCTTGGTCGTGGATATCGGTGGAACTACTACTGATGTCTGCGCACTTCTTCCATCGGGGTTTCCACGACAAGCACCCGGTTTCGTCGAAGTCGGCGGTGTGCGCACTGCGTTCTCCATGCCAGAGGTTGTGTCAATTGGTCTTGGCGGCGGAAGCAAAGTGCAAGTCGACCCTAGCACACAAAACGTCACTGTTGGGCCAGGATCAGTTGGACATTTACTCCAGCAGGAAGCCAAGGTCTTTGGAGGCAAGACTTTGACGGCGAGTGATATCGTCGTGGCGCTGGGTAAAGCGAAACTAGGCGACCCCGAGCTCGTCAAAGACGTCCCCGCTCCCATCATCGAAAGCGGTCGCAAGGAGTTGAAGAAAATGCTCGAGAGCGTCGTCGAGCAGATGAAAGTATCCTCCGCCCCAGTCCACGTCCTCCTCGTCGGCGGCGGCGCACTCCTCGTGACCGAAGACCTCGCCGGGGTGGACAAGTGCATAGTTCCCATCCACCAAGGCGCCGCCAACGCCGTAGGCGCAGCAATCGCCAAGGTATCCGGCGAGATTGACATTGTGGAGATCCCCGAGGGACGCTCTGAAAAGACCATCGTGGACGCTGCGTGCGCCAAAGCGATCGACATGGCCATCTCCAAGGGCGCAGCCAAGAACGACGTCAAGATTGTTGAGGTCACAAAGACGCCGCTACAGTACATGTCTAATGGCGCTATGCGACTGCAGGTTCGTGCGGTGGGACATCTTGCTATCCCTGAGGAACTCACGCCGCCGCCTTCACCGCCCGT